AGGGCCAAATAGTGATGGCTAGACAGTTGGGTCAGAGCATCTCCAAAATGGCAAGTATCTCTCTCACCATCCCTCTAAGGGTGATGACTGTGAATGTCTGTCTGCTAAATAGTCTCTCTAATGCCATGCCTCTCAGGTTGATGTGTGGGAATGTCTGTCTGATAAATAGTCTCTCTCACACCATGCCTCACAGGTTGATGTGTGGGAATGTATGTCTGATAAATAGTCTCTCTAATGCCATGCCTCTCAGGTTGATGTGTGGGAATGTATGTCTGATAAATAGTCTCTCTCACACCATGCCTCACAGGTTGATGTGTGGGAAAGTATGTCTGATAAATAGTCTCTCTCACACCATGCCTCACAGGTTGATGTGTGGGAATGTTTTTCAGCTGATAGGCCCCTCCCAGCTCTTTCACATGCAATTTGAATTTCTACCACATAACACAATTGATTACTCCATGAATAGAGTCTCTGCTGAGGGAGGAAAGTTAAATTGTTCATCCTATAGGTGGGAAATTCTTCCACCATTAGAATGCAATTAATCCCTTTGCAAATGCTCTATGCAAAGTCTTAACTCTTTCTGTTTTTTTAGTTAGCGTAATTAAAGCGGTATAATAACCCTTTTGAGAGGGAGGACCTTTCCAAGGCAGAATATTTACTCGCTCTTAGTGGGCTATAAATATGATAAACAGATATAGAAGTGAAAATCCATCAAAGAGAGGTGACACGTTTCAGACTAGATAAGAAAACATTTTAAGGGACATTCTAGGTACCATCAATACTTAATTTCATTAAAGTGGTTATGGTGCCTGGAGTTCCTTGCCATCCCGCAGTTTAGCGTTAATCTGGTTTTAGCAGGCTAACCATAAAAGAGGGTCTTTGGCTGCCCATGACTCCACTCCTCGCTGGAGTTATGGCTAAGACATAGTGACGCTCCACATGAGCCATACCAATCTGTACCGGCAATGGGTGGTAGTAATCAGCTGATGAGTACAGCCTCTCACCAAACTGCTTTGGCATACATCATCAGCAGGGATGGCTGCATGCATCCAGGATTCAGGGACGCTCATTCAATGTGAAACTTGTGGCAATACTTACCTACTCCATGACGAGCAGCTACTCTTAGGATAAGTGGAGCCGTCCAGCCATGCGGCTTGAGACCTCTAGAGGAATTAATACTTACCCCTACAGCATCTGCAAATCGTTCCAGTGCATTTGTCAACGCCAAATATCTGTTGTATTGTGCTGGTAGAAATTTGGACACTGTCCGCTCGAAAGGCGCATCCTTAAATAAGTTTAAACATACTGATCTCACACCCCACATCATGTAAGAAACCCCATGCTGTTTGGAGTCGAGAGATGATTTAAACATACTGACCTCACACCCCACGTCATGTAAGGAACCCCATGTTGTTTGGAGTAGCAGAAATGATGTGGACCAATCAGAACACATGTGAACCTGTTTAAAGCCTGAATTTAGGTCCTCACTCATTGCCCGATCATGGTTTCTGTTTAGTTACACGTTTAGTGCTTCAAGTGACTCTCTTGTGACCTCCGGTTATTGACTTGGCTTTGTTTTGACCCTGTTACCTTCTGGTATCGTGACCTGGCTTGTATATTGATCTGTGTATTTCTATATCCCTGTCCTGGCTTGATTCTCGTTTATCCATATTTCTGTATTCCTGACTTCGGCCAGTCCTGACTTTATTTATCTTTTAATTTGTTAAGTTCTTCCACTCTAATATTCAGATTCAACTTTATTGTCACTCTAACATGTACAAACAGGGGCAATGAAACACAGTTGGCCTCTGAACAGATATGCAGCAGTAATTTAAAATACTATGTTAAAAAAAGATGTAGTGTAAGCGTAACAGTAATACTTGATACCACAATTTCCTGATACTTAAAAATACGATCCTACTACATTGCTACAAATTTCATGCCAAGAATACCTTGACATTATAATAGTGCCACCATATAAGATCCAAAACACAACTCATAACCCAATCTAAGTTAACCATTAAGTGCACCAACTGCCATTCAGTTAAAGGACCACTATAATGCCAGGAAAACAAACTTGTTTTCCTGGCACTTTGTAGTCCTCATGGCCCCCCTCCCGCTGGGCTGAAGGGGTAAAGCCCCTTCAGCCACTTACCTTTCTCCAGCGCCGGGCTCTCTCGGCGATGGGGAATTCTCCTCCTCCTTCCGATGTAAGCGCGGCAAGAGCTGCGCACACATTCAAACCCCCCATAGGATAGCATTACTCAATGCTTTCCTATGGATGTCAGCGTCTTCTCACTGTGATTTTCACAGCGAGAATCGCGGAAGCGCCTCTATTGGCTGTCAGTGAGACAGCCACTAGAGGCTGGATTAACCCTCAGTGTAAACATAGCAGTTTCTCTGGTCTGGCACCCAGACCACTTCATTCATGCCTATAGTGGTCCTTTAATACTCTAGTGCAAATAAATTCCCAATTAATAGTGTATCTTAATTATGTGACATAAAAGTGCTTAATGTAAGCCCAAGGCTAAATGCATGAAGTGCAAAATATTCACATAAACCATATACATAAAGTGCAAAAAAGGTACCTATGGTAATTACAAAAATGAACAGTAACACGGCTTTTTGGACCCTCATTTTGTGGGTATCCTCTTTCCTGTTAAGGTAACGATATCTGTGACAAAACTATTTTAGTTATGGTCCTTTCAGTCATTTGGAAAATATTTTTGAAACCCACAAAAAAAAGACACTTTCCAGAAGACTTTAAAAATAGAAAATCTTCCCAATAAACGATTATCTATTCTAGAAAGTGACTGAAAATAAGTGAAAGTTTGATAAAGTAACACAGGACAGTAAAATCTATGGCTCGGCTTCAATATTCATTTTCAAGATGGTGAGATAGATTATGTCCTGTGATTGAGTTGGCAGTATAATAATCTCTTTTGTGTCATGGAAATTAATATCCGCGTTTTTCTAAGGGATAGCATATTTTGTCCACCAGCATCTTGTGTCATGATTATTTACTAAACTGGCATTTGGAAACGTTTACCAAAATTATCAAAATGGTAAATATTCACAGTCTGGCTATTTTTCCAGCTTAACGTATCTAACTGCACTCTCCCTTTTCTAGTCTTCATGGACAATTTGCAGAAAGCCAATAGTTATTGCGGAGTTTTGAGACATTTCGACTAAAAACAAGAGTTGTGCCACTTAGTAGCTAATAAATTCCTCTTGTTCGGCTGTAATGGCACCTGAATCTATCTGTGTCAGTTAAACAGAATGCCTGTTAAACCCGCTAGCCGCAGAGGCCTCCTGCCTGTACTTTGAAATTGGTTAATTTTACATGTTGCATGCCTATTAAACAGATCACATTTAAACTTCCCTTCTCCGTTAGATGCTCACCCAGTCTCCACTTCTTCATCAAAGCGTATCAATTAAACTGTTATTAGCTCCTGACTAGTGATGTCCCGAACGGTTCGCCGCACACGGCGAACATATGCGGTAAACTTTGACCCTGTACCTCACAGTCAGCAGACACATTCCAGCCAATCAGCAGCAGACCCTCCCTCCCAGACCTCCCGCCTCCTGGACAGCTCACTAAGAATGCAGCTTCACAATGAATGTAAAATGGATGCTGTCCAGGAGGTGGGAGGGTCTGCTGCTGATTGGCTGGAATGTGTCTGCTGACTGTGAGGTACAGGGTCAAAGTTTACCGCATATGTTCGCCGTTCGGGACATCACTACTCCTGACTGATTCCTCTCTTGCAACTGTCACTAGTCTAATACTATCCTTACCTTTTTCTGTCATTTTACCCCACTCCCTCTAGCATGTAAGCTCATTGAGCAGGGCCCTCAATCCCCCTGTTCCTGTGTGTCCAACTTGTCTGGTTACATATACATGTTTGGTTGTCCACCCATTGTAAAGCGCTGCGGAATTTGTTGGCACTATATAAATAACAACATAATAATCAGGGGATTCAGCTTTGTTTTAACAGACAGCCAGATTTCTCTTAAATGGAATTGGTAAATGGAAATTGCGTTTTGCCCATTTTTTTGTCATTTGAGCTCTCTCTATACTGTCACTTCAAGATACTTGTTCTGCAGCAGCTTTCAATAACATAATCCATGTCGTTTTCCTGCACTGGAGGAGCCCAGCTGCCCGGCCTTTGATACTTTGATGCCTGTTCAGAAGGAAATTATAGGCGGAGTAACTACACATGCTAGTATAGCTTTGCAGTGTCATCATTTGGCACAAACTGTGTATGTCTCAATAAAGCATCCTGGAGCATAGCCTATACAGATCCTGTGGCACAGACCAATGAGTTGTGTCTTTCTATTAAAGGAGCAGTAATGCTTATTATACATGAGTATTAATACTGCAAAATGTACAATTATCTGGTCACCGTATAAATTAAACATCCGAGGATAAAATGTATGTCACTACAGATTGGAAGCCACCATCATTTCATAGTCCATTATATAGATAGTAATAATGCAAAAAATTAATTACAAATTAAAGGCAAACATAGTATCCACAGGTAAATGCCAGCCTAGAGCTCCTCGGAGCCAGGAAGAGTATACAATAATCTATTTTTCAGTGCGGTGCATGGAGCTCATATACCATAAACCTCCAGCGGTTTCATATTTTTGTTGCAAATTAAAGTCCACATTCAGTAAAACTAATTCATATGTGACTGTAAAATGTGAAAAAAATCATGTTCCCAGAAAATGTTCTTAGTGGTAGGGAAAACAAAAAAGGCTGCATTCATTCCCTACCAAGCAGTTAATTTCATTTTGGCTTTATCTTTAATATAGTTCTGATAATGTAGCTTGAATTGCATAAATCATTATGATGACAAAAATAAATGTGCATTATCAGGCGTGGTGCCCACCATATTGCTGATGTATACTTTTTTTGTCTGCTAAACTGTTTAGTAACTAGTTTTCTGAGAGACCTAAACCCTCGTCCTCTGCTGGATTGGAGAGGGTTAAGCAGCTGCATGCCCAGGCCTGCCCTTGGCAGCTTCGTTACTCAAGAATTCAGCATGGGCCCTGTTCTGCATTTTCCTTCCATATCACATGAACAGCTTAACCCAAACCAATATTTTACTCCCATTAATGTGATTGCACGAGCGGCTCCCGTTAACCCGTACCAGTATTATACTCCCATTAATGTGATGGCACGGATGGCTCCCGTTAACCCGTATCAGTATTCAACTCCCGTTAATGTGACGGCATGGGCAGCTCCCGTTAACCCATACCAGTATTCAACTCCCATTAATGTGACGGCACAGGCAGCTCCCATTATCCTGTACCAGTATTCTACTCCCATTAATGTGACTGCACAGACTGATCCCGTTAACCCGTACCAGTATTCTCCTCCCATTAGTGTGACAGCACGAGCGGCTCCCGTTAACCCGTACCAGTATTATACGCCTATTAATGTGACAGCATGGGCAGCTTCCGTTAACCCGTACCAGTATTCTCCTCCCATTAATGTGACTGAATGGACGGCTCCCGTTAACCTGTACCAGTATTCTACTCCCATTAATGTGATGGCACGGACGGCTCCCGTTAATCCATATCCGTATTCTCCTCCCATTAGTGTGACCGCACGAGAGGCTCCTGTTAACCAGTACCAGTATTATACTCCCATTAATTTAATGGCACGGACGGCTCCCGTTAACCCGTATCAGTATTCAACTCCCATTAATGTGACGGCATGGGCAGCTCCCGTTAACCCGTACCAGTATTATACGCCTATTAATGTGACGGCATGGGCAGCTCCCGTTAACCCGTACCAGTATTCTCCTCCCATTAATGTGACTGGACGGCTCCCGTTAACCTGTACCAGTATTACACTCCCATTAACGTGATGGCACGTACGGCTCCCGTTAATCCGTATCAGTATTCAACTCCCATTAGTGTGACAGCACGAGCGGCTCCCGTTAACCCGTACCAGTATTATACGCCTATTAATGTGACGGCATGGGCAGCTCCCGTTAACCCGTACCAGTATTCTCCTCCCATTAATGTGACTGGACGGCTCCCGTTAACCTGTACCAGTATTACACTCCCATTAATGTGATGGCACGGACGGCTCCCGTTAATCCATATCCGTATTCTCCTCCCATTAGTGTGACAGCACGAGCGGCTCCTGTTAACCAGTACCAGTATTATACTCCAATTAATTTAATGGCACGGATGGCTCCCGTTAACCCGTATCAGTATTCAACTCCCATTAATGTGACGGCATGGGCAGCTCCTGATAACCCGTACCAGTATTCAACTCCCATTAATGTGACGGCATGGACAGCTCCCGTTAACCGGTACCAGTATTCTACTCCCATAAGTGCGACGGCACGAGTGGCTCCCGTTTCCCCATACCAGTATTCTACTACCATTAAAGAGACAGCACGGACGGCTCCCATTAACCCGTACCAATATTCTATTCCCATTTGTGATGGCACGGACAGCTCCTGTTAACCCGTACCAGTATTCTGCTCTCATTAATTTGACTGCATGGACGGCTCCCGTTAACCCGTACCAGTATTCTACTCTCATTAGTGTGAGGGCACGGACCATTCCCATTAACCCGTACCAGTATTCTACGGACGGCTCCCATTAACCCGTACCAATATTCTTCTACTCCCATTAGTGTTACGGCACAGACTGCTCCCATTCCTGGGTCCTCAGTAACCCAAGAAACTGTGATGCCGTGTGCATTGGCCTAGTTACATATGGGTCAAGTTTCCCAGGAGATCACTTGCTGTCACTAATTCACCTGTGACTCTGTGATGCTACAAAAAGAGGCCTGCTCCCCTAAATCTCTCTGCATCAGCAGGGGCCCAATCCTTCTCTCCTGATTCTTTCTGCATCAGCATGGGGCCCCATATTTTTGCCTGTGTAGGGACAATGTCATGCCCCATCCTTGGAGCCTTTAGCACCTGTGATCCCGTGTGCGGGAGCCTGTAGCCTCTGTGATGCCCTGTGCGGGAGCCCTTTTGCCCCTGGGAACTTATGCTGGAGCCTGTGGCCCCTGTGATGACCTGTCCATGAAGCCTGTGGCCCCTGTGATGACCTGTCCATGAAGCCTGTGGCCCCTGTGATGACCTGTCCATTAAACTTGTGGCCTCTGTGATGCCCTGTCCATTAAACTTGTGACCCCTGTGCTGCCCTGTCCATGAAGCCTGTGGCCCCTGTGCTGCCCTGTCCATGAAGCCTGTGGCCCCTGTGATGACCTGTCCATGAAGCCTGTGGCCCTTGTGATGACCTGTCCATTAAACTTGTGGCCCCTGTGCTGCCCTGTCCATGAAGCCTGTGGCCCCTGTGATGCCCTGTCCATGAAGCCTGTGGCCCCTGTGATGCCCTGTCCATGAAGCCTGTGGCCCCTGTGATGCCCTGTCCATTGAACTTGTGCCCCCTGTGCTGCTCTGTCCATGAAGCCTGTGGCCCCTGTGACGCCCTGTCCATGAAGCCTTTGGCCCCTTTGATGACCTGTCCATGAAGCTTGTGGCCCCTTTGATGCCCTGTCCATGAAGCTTGTGGCCCCTGCGATGCCCTGTCCATGAAGCCTGTGGACCCTGCGATGCCCTGTCCATGAAGCCTGTGGACCCTGCGATGCCCTGTCCATGAAGCCTGTGGCCCCTGCGATGCCCTGTCCATGAAGCCTGTGGCCCCTGTGCTGCCCTGTCCATGAAGCCTGTGGCCCCTGTGTTGCCCTGTCCATGAAGCCTGTGGCCCCTGTGATGCCCTGTCCATGAAGCCTGTGGCCCCTGTGCTGCTCTGTCCATGAAGCCTGTGGCCCCTGTGCTGCCCTGTCCATGAAGCCTGTGGCCCCTGTGCTGCCCTGTCCATGAAGCCTGTGGCCCCTGTGCTGCCCTGTCCATGACGCCTCTGGCCCTGTGATGCCCTGTTCATGACGCCTGTGGCCCCTGTGATGCCCTGTCCATGAATCCTGTGGCCCTTGTGATGCCCTGTCCATGAAGCTTGTGGCCCCTGTGATGCTCTGCCCATGAAGCCTGTGGCCCCTATGATGGCCTGTCCATGAAGCCTGTGGCCCCTGTGATGCCCTGTCCATGAAGCTTGTGGCCCTTGTGATGCCCTGTCCATGAAGCTTTTGGCCCCTGTGATGCCCAGTGGCGAGGTCTGGCTGGATGTAAATGAATAGAGACGTGTAATAGGAGAACAATGTGGCCGATCCCGAGCCCAGCCTCCTCCCTGTGACTCTGCCTCGGCCCTCCCCCTGCCTGGGAACGAACAGCCGGACCGACCGCAGCGAGTGGGATTCCAGCCGGCAAGCTATGCGGAGCCCCTCGGCCAGGACCCCCGACGGATAACCCCCAACAAGCTCTACAGCGAGAAATATAGGCGGTTACTGCCGACCCAGGACCCCGGAGATCGCACTGCATGGAGGCGGGGATTGGGATCCGAGCAGCCGCTCCATCTGCAGCCAGCCTTGGGGGGCTTGAAAGGTCAGTGTGGTCCCCTTTACTGCATACACCTAACCTTGGGTGGCTGAAGAGATCCGTGTGAACCCCCTCACTGAATACACCTAACCTTGGGTGGGCTGGAGAGATCCGTGTGAACCCCCTCACTGCATACACCTAGCCTTGGGGGTGGGGGGGGGGTCAGTGTAAACCCCCTTACTGCATACACCTAACCTTGGGGGGGTCAGTGTGAACCCCCTTACTGCATACACCTAACCTTGGTGGGTCAGTGTGAACCCCCTCACTGCATACACCTAACCTTGGTGGGGTGAAGAGATACGTGTGAACCCCCTCACTGGATACACCGAAGCTTGGGGGGTTGGAGAGATCTGTGTGAACCCCTTCACTGCAAACACCTAGCCTTGGGGGCCTGGCAAGATCTGTGTGAACCCCCTCACCGCATACACCTAGCCTTGGGGGGCTGACGAGATCCGTGTGAACCCCCTCACCGCATACACCTAGCCTTGGGGGGCTGGAGAGATCCCTGTGAACCCTCTAACCGCATACACCTAGCCTTTGGGGGCTGGAGAGATCCCTGTGAACCCTCTAACCGCATACACCTAGCCTTGGGGGGCTGGAGAGATCCGTGTGAACCCTCTAACCGCATACACCTAGCCTTGGGGGGCTGGAGAGATCCGTGTGAACCCTCTAACCGCATACACCTAGCCTTGGGGGGCTGGAGAGATCCGTGTGAACCCTCTAACCGCATACACCTAGCCTTGGGGGGCTGGAGAGATCCGTGTGAACCCTCTAACCGCATACACCTAGCCTTGGGGGGCTGGAGAGATCCATGTGAACCCCCTCACCACATACACCTAGCCTTGAGGGGCTGAAGAGATCCGTGTGATCATCCTCACCGCATAAACCTAACCTTGGGGGCTGGGGAGATCCGTGTGAACCTCCTCATCGCATACACCTAACTTTGGGGGGCTGGAGAGATCCGTGTGAAACTCCTCACCGCATACAGCCAGCCTTGGTGGGGGCTGGGGAGGTTTAGTGTTAACCCCTTTCTAACTGCATACAGGCAGCTTTGGGGGACATTGTGTATATAGGGGCAGGTTGTGTGGTGAGGTCGCAGTGAGCATTTAAAATATATGCTGAACCTCTTCTTGTCTGTAATGTGTGAATCCCTTATAGCAGTACCATTAGCCCAGCCATGCCTACCCCACAACCTAACATGCCTTCCCCATGATATTCCACCCCGCAACCTACCATACCCGATATTCCACCCCGCAACCTACCATGCCTGCCCATGATATTCCACCCCGCAACCTACCATGTCTGCCCATGATAGTCCACCCCACAACCTGCCATGCCCGCCCATGATTTTCCACCCTGCAACCTACCATGCCCGCCCCATGATATTCCACCCCGCAACCTACCATGCCTGCCCATGATATTTCACCCTGCAACCTACCATGCCCGCCACATGATATTCCACCCCGCAACCTACCATGCCTGCCCATGATATTTCACCCAGCAACCTACCATGCCTGCCCCATGATATTTCACCCAGCAACCTACCATGCCTGCCCCATGATATTTCACCCCGCAACCTACCACGCTTGCCCCATGATATTCCACCCCGCAACCTACCACGCCTGCCCCATGATATTCCACCCCGCAACCTACCATGCCTGCCCCATGATATTCCACCCCGCAACCTACCATGCCTGCCCCATGATATTCCACCCCGCAACCTACCATGCCTGTCCCATGATATTCCACCCCGCAACCTGTCATGCCTGTCCCATGATATTCCACCCCGCAACCTGCCATGCCTGTCCCATGATATTCCACCCAGCAACCTACCATGCCCGCCCCATGATATTCCACCCTGCAACCTACCATGCCCGCCCCATGATATTCCACCCTGCAACCTACCATGCCCGCCCCATGATATTCCACCCTGCAACCTACCATGCCCGCCCCATGATATTCCACCCTGCAACCTACCATGCCTGCCCCATGATATTCCACCCTGCAACCTGCCATGCCCGTCCCATGATATTCCACCCAGCAACCTACCATGCCTGCCCCATGATATTCCACCCTGCAACCTACCATGCCTGCCCCATCATATTCCACCCCAGACCTTGTCATGCTTGCCACCTGTTTTTCCCTACCCAAATTTCTCTATGTATCTTCCATGCTGCTATTCTATACCAGTGAGGAGGTGTGTGCTTTTGAAACTGAGGAGGACTGTTGATGGTGCTTCTTAAGGCAAACTCACCCACAGAATGAACAATGACTGAAACCCCCTACTTATAGCACTCTCTGCGGCTGTCTCTCTGTGTTCACAGGTGACAATGTTTGGTGTAGAGATTACACCTGTTTGACAAGGATTTAATGGGCCTTTTTCTCCATCATATTATTAATCTTACTCTGTAAATATGGCTTTTTAGACCAAAAGTGTACATTGGGAATTGGGGAGAATGGATACTGAAATTTCACATTTTATGACAAAATGACTGAATAGGAAACATAGATGAATTGATTTATTGTTTCACATTGCCTGTTCCTGCTTTAATGAATGATCCCGGTTCTGTTGGCAGCGTTAAATGTGCTCCAGAGTGTTCCTGGTAAAGTGGCCCTTTAATGTGAAGTGTATATGTGCTCTGTTTGTTGGACTCTGCAGGCTGTATGGCTGTAGCAGTTGTTCAGCCTAGCGATGTCTCTTCTGATGCACACGCCTGCCAAGTACAGGACCTGGGAAGTTCATCTTGAATATGTTCAGCATCTTTCTCTGTGAGCTCTGCTGTCATGAGATGCCAGTGACTCATATATTCAAATGGTTCAAACTGTGTATGTACGAACTACCTCCGGTAACTTGCCTCTGAGTAATCTCCACCCCATCAAAAGAAACGCAAACCTATAATATTAAAAACAAACGTTTAACTAGCAAAGCAGCAACTCCTCCTTAATAAATCTGTCCCTATGAAGAGCAGGATGTCCATCGACATATCAGGTTTGTATAGGAGCTGTGCTTGCGGTTGC